TATTAGGACAATGGAAGGAATTTGGGATCATTTGGACTCAAGAATCTTGATGAAAATCAAACCCTAATTTGAGGTAGACTGCCTTAGGAGAGAGTTTGTATGGTCAACTCTTGAACTTCCTTGAGCAGTTTGGGGACTTCACGTGACATTTGTTGAGAAATATGTGAGGGAAAATTTTAGGGTACAACAAGATGCTTATTCAAGGGTTGGTATTTGACTACGAGAATGACGATCAAGGTTACCGCCAGAGGTTTATCCGAGCTTAGAGGATGTTGAACAAGGTAGATAGCAAGATGTTAGGGCACAAGAATTCTATCCCCCTTGAGCCTTACCTTAAGTGGGTGCGAGCTCGTGCTCAGAAACTTATGATGCCTTATCCTTCCATTCTCCCAGTTATCATAGAACCTGTTGTGGAAGGAGATGTCCCATACACTATCCTTCATCCTAACATGCCCACCTCTCTCGAAGACTTGCAAAGGGATTGGATACAACTTAAGGGGGAGCGAGACACTTTCGAGGCCAATTCTACGCCAGCGAGAAGAAATTTCTGGAACTCACCAAGAAGATTCATGAAAAGCGGAGTCTGAACGCCTACATCACACCGAAGAGGATGCGTACAACTTTTTTGTCTTAGAGTTTTGTATTTTTATTTCTTTGTAAACCCAAAGAGGAATGATGTACTCAAACTTTGATTTATTAATATAATGTGTATTCCTTTTTGTCTAAAGCAAATTTAAATCTCTAATTTCCTTGAAATCATTTACATATGCATCTTCATTCATCATAACACAAACAGGTTTCTTACAGCAGGTCTCCTTATCTTTCTACTATTTATTTCAGTAAGATGGACATTGAACAGACAGTAAAGGATCTCCAAGTGCAAAACGCCCAGTTTCAACAAATGTTCTTGACTCTGGAAAAAGGACAAGATGAGTTGAAAACCCTGCTGATCAAAGAAAATAAGAATAAAGCGAAGAAATCAGCCGGTGTTTTGAATCTGGGAAGAAGGTTCAAAGGACCAGCCAGACGGACTCTAGACTTCGCAACATCATCAGGTGAAGGGGACAATCAAGAAGGGAAAAACAAGGAAGTGACTGACCATCCAGAGTCTGAAGAGGAAGAAGAGGTTGATTACTCTTAAGAGTAGTATCCTCCAGCTGACGACAAATACAAACAGTTAGAAGACCGCTTAAATGTTATGGAGATCCAGAAAGTACCCGGGTTAGATTTTGAAGAGCTAGGACTTGTCTCAGGGGTTGTCATACCGCAGAAATTCAAGGTCCCCACTTTCGCTAAATATGACAGTGTATGTTGTACCCCAACATTTTCCCTCCCATATTTCTCAATACATTTCAAGTGAGGCCCTCAAGTTGCTCAAGGAAGTCCAAAGGTTGACCAGACAAACCCTCTCCTAAGGCAGTCTACCTCAAATTAGGGTTTCATCTTGCATCAAGATGTTTGAATCCAAAGGGTCCCAAATGATCACCATTGCCCTAATATGTTCTCAAGATCATCCATGTCAAGTTTCAAGCCTTGCAAAGGAAGTTTGCTCAGTCAATTGCTCAAAGGCCTGAAAATCGACTATGTTAGGGCAAAAGTCAACTGTGGCCCACATACAGTCAAACCTCAATATTTTTGGTCAACATTCTAATTTTGAAGTATTATTCTTCATTTTATCAAGGTTTTATCATGATTCCTCAAGGATTGCTCACAATTCATCAAAACCCAAAAGTTGTTAAATTAGGGTTTTGTAGGAAAAGTCAACTCAACTTTGACCAAGCATAACTTTCTCATACTTTAGAAAAAATGACCCATCCAAAGCTCATTTTTAAGAGGATGTAATTCCCTACAATCCATCTTCATCTCCCAAGTTCAAAATATGCACTCACAAGAAGATATAAATTTGGACATTATAGGTCATTTTGGAAAGTCAACAAAAACCCCTTTTGGGTCAAAGCTTCATACATGAACATGGAAAAATCAATTGAGATGAGACCAAAAGGTTTGCTTAGAGGACATCTCAATCTTTCTAAAAAGTCCAAGAACACCTCTCTAGGGTCAAAATTGAGGGAGTTATGCATTGGTAAAGTTGACCCTTTTTACAAAATTGCCAAAAGTCAAATATGGCCAAAATTGCATTTTTTGCTAAATGGGCCCAACTTTTTATGCTTGCACTGAGTTTGTAATGTGACCCACGACCCATTAACTTTTCCATTTGTCATTCTTTTATTTTTGTCATTTATTTTGATTTTATTTCAATTAAATCAAATAAAATAAAAAAAAAAATCATGAAAATATCAAAAACTAATCAAAGCTTGAGATTTTGTGCATGTTTAGGTCTATTATACAGCTGGAGATGGAATCAAATCGTGCAAGGTTCATTTGGACACAAAAGATTGCATTTTGGCTTGATTTGGAAAGGTTTTGTACAATGATCAAATCATGATTCAATAATCATAATTGGAGAGATTTGATACAAGTTTGTAACCCTAGTTCCTTCTAGGGTACATAAGGAACATGTTTAGATAAAAAACAGAGGGAGGAGAGGCGTGCAAAGAAGAGAACAAATCTCAAAATTTCAAGAAAAAATTGCAAACTGATTTCCCAGTTCCAGGCTTCCTCAAGCCATTCCGGTCACACCAATCGTTTGCTGGACATCCTAGGATCCTATTTCAATCATTAGAAAGCTTTTCCATGACTTGAAACACACTGTAAGTGTCGCACAACTTCCATACTTTCTTGAATTCGAATATCATCATTCTTGCATAGTTAGCATGTTTTATTGACATATCCTTAATCCATGAGTTATTTGCAAGCTAATAGTGATACTTAATTGAATTTTCATTAACTGTACAGCAAGATGCCATAGTTAGGGTTCTTGTTTCGTTTTTAGGGTTTTTATGTACAGGACAATTGGCCATGGATAGTGGTACCATGATGCTCGTTAGGTTGCAACGAGTTGATTGGTACCATTGTTTTGCATTTATCATGCTTGTATATGATTTTGAAGAAACACAGGGTTGTACCTACGCCGATTTGTCTGTAGGTAAAAGTTCTTAATCTAAAACGACAGAGGCGCGAGGACGATGATGGCGTGGCAGGTGGTGAATGGCCCATTCAAATTTGCGTGCATTTTAGAGTTTAGCTTTATTGTTTTATCATATAATAGTATTTTGTCATTAGGTATACAACTAATACAACCAGCTCAGCTGGAAAGCGTGCAATGGATGAATGCTGAAGGACCTGGGTTCGATCCCCTGAAACAACCGACTGAAAATCATCAAACAATGAAGTCGCCATCGAACGTCTTTTATCCCACATGTAGGGAAAGGTAAACATCGAGAAAACCTGAGAAGGGAGAAGTCACGGTCTTGTGACCGAGAGATCGGGTAAGGGAGTCTGTTACGCGAGGGGAAGGTATTAGCACCCCACACGCCCGTAGTACTCTACGGTATCCACTCTTGTTATCTATCTTATGGGTGTGTTTAATCTATGCTTACTGTTTACTATACTACTGGAGGAATGCATGCAAAAGAAAAGAGAAAAGAATGTAGGGAAAATAAAATTGTGCTCGCTTGGGCCCTACCCCAATGCCTACGTATCCGTTTTAAGGAATCAGAGCTACCGTAGTACGGCTCACATTTTTTTGTTTGTTTTGTGTTTTTTATGGACGAAGTTAATTCCGCCTTCTGCCGCAGCTCGACCTTCGGAGACTTATGCGTTGGCACAGAAGTAAATTAATCGTGTCCTTATCTGAAAAGGGTTTTTTAATGAAAGGTGCTCGAGCGCACAAAAGATTTGATTTTGTTTTGTATTTTTGTTGTAGATATTTTTTATGGACAATGTTAATTCCGCCTTCTGCCGCAACTCGACCTTTGGAGACTTATGCGTTAGCACAAAAGTAAATTAATCGTGTCCTTATCTGAAAAGGGTTTTTAGAAAAGTGCTCGAGCGCACAAAAGATTTGATTTTGTTTTGTATTTTTGTTGTAGATAATGACTAGACGACCTCAAGAGAGAGATATTAGCCATTTTTCTACTTAGCCATGAAAGGAGTTTTTGAGAATTGAACCACACCTATGCTTGAGATGAAGAACAATAAGATCGAGAAGAGACCCGCTTATCATTTCTCGTACTAAGCAAAAAGCGTGATTCTCATCAATAGTTTTAAAGTTTTTTTGAATTTTTTTGAAAGAAAAGAAGTTTTAGTTTTAGGTGCGTATGCAAAAGGGAAAGAAAAGTTAAAGGGGAATTAATCCTATTTCTAAACCTAATTCTAGTATGTATTGTTAGACCTAAAGTTAGAATTTGTGGAATTCTACCTAATGTTAGCATGCATATGGATTGCGATAAAGTACGAAAATGAAGAATAAAATAAATTTGTGACGATACCGAACGGAGAAGGTCCGTTGCCTATTCGACGCCACGCAAGTGATAAGAAAATTCTACCAAAGTTCCCTTGGGCAAGTGATTGAAGAATTAACCCCGAGGATTCCACATTGCAAGAGTAATATCAATGCTATCACAAAATCTTGACTAAAAAGGGTCAGTGAGGATGATCACCAAATATGAAGAATAAAATAGAAAAAAATCTAATCGAAATTCTAAAAAGAAATTCTAAAGAAATCTAAAATATTCTATTATTTTTATTGTCAATTGAGAGGAAAAAAAATTAAACTAAAATAGAAAAATTAAAATAATAAAAAAGGAAAAATTAGAAGAGTTAGGGGGTATAAAGTCTAGAAATATGGGTGTTGAAGTAATTTGCCCAAAAAGATTTTCAACATTTTTATTTATTATTTACTTAATTATAATTGTTATTAATTTGAATTAAGAATAGTAAAACAATAAGACAATTAAATTAAAAAGAAAAAAAAGCAAGGAAATTGGAAAGGGAATAGGGTTTTTAGAAAGAAAAGTCTCTTCTTCTCTCGCGAACGGAACAGCGGCGGCGCCTCCGCCTTCCTTGCGTCTTCTTCTTCATCCATCAATGGTGCTCCGATGCTGGCTTCCGATTCCATCCCCGCCTTCATCATTCTGATCTTCGTATTCTCTTCGCGCTTCCGTCGGTCTCCTCGCTTTGCTCCGATTCCTTTTCCGATGATCTCTGCTCAACCTTCGCGAATTATTAAGGACGAAGCCGCCATCTTCATCTCTGTTCAAGCTCCAGCTTCATATGACTCATCTTTTCCGATGCAACTAGATGTAGCCTCATTACACTGATGCACAACCGAATGGAGTAGATTCGGTGGCTCTTCAGAGCGTTGAAGAATTCATGAAAACCAGAGGTAATGTGATGCTTTAGCTTTCGCGTTTGAGAATCTTCTTCTGGTCTTCCTTTTGTGTCCATTTCTTTTCTTCGTCTACTTCTTGCTTCTGTATGTGTTGTTGTGAGGTGCAAGGTACATGAATCAATGACAAATACGCGAGAACACCGAACCTCTAGTTGGAAATCACAAGCATTCAGCTAAGCATTCGAACGGTTAATCGTGTGAAACGATGCACAGCAAAGAGAGCTAGTGAAACGATGCGCATCAGCTAAACAATGATGTTGAAAGAAAAACAAGATAAAGATTTTGAACTTCAGGTACGCATCCCTTTCAATCCTTGCTCATTCTGCTCCTGCTTTTCTCCTCCATTCTTTCGCCTTCGTGATTTGAGCCAGACATAGTATGTATACTGCAGTTCCTATGGAAAGCACATGTATTTGCAGAACTGGAAGGAGAGGGAAGATTCATAGGAAAATATTGAGGTGAGGTTGAAGGGGTTATGGATTATAGATAGTACGTAAGGCTGAAGAGGGATAGAGAGAATCTGAAGATGTTGATTTAGGATTTTGGTGAATAAAAGAAAAAAAATGATGAAGGGTGCAGATGAAGATTAGAGAAGAAGATAAAATTTCTGTAGTTCTTTTTTGGATGTGATTCTTCTGCAAGTTGAGAGGTAATAAAATCTTTTTTCCTGTGTTGAAATCATCTATCTATTCTATCCCTCCCTATGCATATGTTGTGTACTCTATTTATATATGCTGGAAGTTTGTTATGGTTTGTTAAGTTAGTTAGGATTTGGGAAGTGGGAAGTTGGTTATAGTTAGAAGTTCTGTTAGGATAATGTTAGAAATTCTGTTAGTTGGTTATAGAAAACAGTTGCGGGAAGTTGGTTGGGGAATTATGACTTTGGTTAGGAAGCTGAGATGCAGTTAAGAATTTGTTACTAGTTAAGTTAGTTTGGATCTGGTTAGAAAGTTAAAAAAAGTTGTTAGGTTGTAGTTTGTTATGCAGTTAGAAGTGGTTGTTGTGCGGTTAGTTTGAGAAGGTAACAGTGTGCTTTCAGTGATATAATCAACTTCAACAGCTTCTTGTCCATCATTATTTGTCTGTCCAGGATTGTCTACAGGACAAGTATCCTTGATGGAAACACTGTTACCCTTGGAAAGAAGATCTGGCACATCCTTTGGAGAGGTACTGGTGATTAAAACAGAAGAGGACTGGCCTGATTCTGGATAAAATGATTCCTGAATGGTAGAGTTACCAGTTCCATCTGCAGAACTATCCTTCAATACGTAGAAATTATCTTCTATTTGCAATATGCCATTCTTCAATTCACTCCCTGGATCCAACAAGGCAGGCTGACATAGTGAATCAACTATGGGTGAATTCCTCAAGTTGTTATGAAAATCAGGTGAGGGTAATGATTTTACATGTGAATCATCAGTGATTTCTTTAACAACAGTGGCTCTTATCTTTTCTTCGCAGGCACTGTCACAATCCACACCATCTTTTGATTGTGCGGCTTATCACTTGTGCTTTCTAGTTTTGTATTCCCAAACCCTTGTATCCGCCGGTTAAGATCATGAGAAGGTGTGGTAGCCTTATGCTGATGATTACTAAAACATTACAGAGACAGCCTCATTTGCAGTGTCCCGCACAGCTTTATTTAGTGCATCGCCTTTCAAGGGATCCGGCTGTCCCTTGTAGTGCAATAATTGACGAATTGCGACTGAATGTCTCTGCATTTCCCTTATGAACTCAGCACCAGACTTTCCAGAAAATACAATTCCAAATTCCAAAGGCTCAAAGTTGCAGTTGATACGACGTACAACCTTTGCAATACGAGGACCTTTCTGACGGTAATTGTTTGGACCACACGAGACATTTCCATTAATAGCTCTTGCATTATCTGCTACATTAGAAGTGGAACAGCCATCTAACTTCTCATGATTATCCTCGCTCTTAGCCTTAATAGTGCCGGAAGGTTGTGGTTTAAGAGGAGGACGAACCTCCGAACTTTCCAAACTATGATCACCGGCCTCCACTCTTGAAGAAGCTGGAATGTTCCTAACTGATTCTGCACCAGTAAGACCTATATGAAAAGAAAGATCTATTGGCGTAGAAGGTAGATTTGGTCCTCTCTGTTCATGAGGTTCTTGTTTCACATTCAAAAGCTGAGTTGAACACGAACCCGGATCTTCACGAGGCAACATAATAGCCTCCTTCTCACCCACCACAGAAGCATCTGTCAAAGTTAAGGTATGCAGGTTGTTTCATATATGTGTTTAGCATTTGGTTTGGGTTAATTAATGGTTTTTTCATGTGTCGAATAATTTGTATAAGCATAGGATATTTTGGCATGATTGCTTGTATTGACTTGGATTTTTTTTGTATGAATGTGCAGGTCATGAACTGAAGATGAAGAACTTTGGCATGGCATGGAATTAGAAGTTTACTCATGGAATTTTAGCACCTTTAGGACTAAAGAATTTTGTTCAAGTGTATTTTGTAACAGTTTTTTTTTGTTGTAGAATATTGGTGTAATGGGATTGTAAAGATTTTATAATGAATGCTTGGTTTGGATGAACTTGAAATATATAGTGTGAATTGTAAATGACCTTTGAGCTTGAAATGTTGGGTGATGAATTTTAAGGACGGAGTTTAAATGACAAAGTCTTGAAAAAATGCTTGAAGACATGAAAGCATCAAATTTTCTTGTAAGGTATTGTTACACTTGAATGAAATTGAATGGATTTGGATAGTATTTTCTTGAATCATGAATAAACTTTGAACACATGTCAATTTGAATCCGGAATAACGATGAACGTCTTTGTAATGCGTATGAACTCCAACTTGAAACAAGACCTCGCAGTCTGTACTTTACCTTCCCAGAAACTCATATGACCAATACTTAAGGCTCTTTGCCAACTTTAATCCAATCAACCACTTTCGAACATCTTGAACTCAAATCAAACTTCAAATCCAAATCACACTTGCATTCTCAATGAACTCCTAACTTCAATCTCGAACCCAAATAATCTTGAATGACAAATAATTTGAATAGTCAATAAGATCTTGATCCTAAAAAATTCACAACCTTGCCTTTTGTATCATGCCTCATATTCCACGATTCAATCCACAAGTCTCTTATCTTGACAAAGTTTTTTTCCCCTAATTGACGACCTTAAATCATCAAAGATGGATGTACATGATAATGAAAGAATATGATCAAGATTAATATGAAACCTTATTTCCCCTGATCTTCAATTACTTGAACTTTTATCAATGAATAGAAACCCTGATTTTTAGCTTCGTCTCATAAAACCTTGCAACTTGACATTGAGAAGAAAAGAATAGCATCGTAGCTTGATGATGATAAGGTCCATGAAATGAAAACCTAGCTTCAAACAGATTATTAATGGAGAAATCAACCGAAACAAGCTTGTGCGAAGATGGGAGCCTTAAAGCCATACACCAACCCTTATTCCTCGAAATCCATGATCTCATGCCAATTTATTGATTAATGATGCATGATGTGTTAGATGACCAAATGTGAGAAAAATGCAAAAGTGCGTAAGCCAGATGGGAAGTAAAAGGGTAGGACAAATTTGGGGTATTACAGCTGCCCCTATTTAATAATCTTAAACCTGAAAGTACGATTGGCGCGTGCCTTTCGGAAGTTCAAGGTGGAAGATGATTAAATACCAATGCCAAAAATTTGTCCTGAGGGAGAAAGTGTTTTATTTACTTATTTATTTTGCGATCTGCCGGGGAAAAGAAATTTGTTTTTTTTTTCAATGAAGAGACAGAGACTGGACTTGTAACGTGGCTTGATGCCAATACAAGACAAATGGTTGGTATGAAAAGACAGCGGACGAGGTCTACGGGCGACCTACGACCCGAGGGTGACACATGAGAGTGATTTGACAGAGAACCTGGCCAAAGGGCGATCTCAGGTTCGACGAAGGTTTGAAGGAAGAACCTAGCCAAGAGGCGATCTCAGGTTCGACAAAGGTTTGAGAGAAGAACCTAGCCAAGAGGCGATCTCAGGTTCGACAAAGATTTGAAGGAAGAACCTAGCCAAGAGGCGATCTCAGGTTCGACGAAGGGAACATGGGTTATGACATGATGATTGTTTAGATAAGCGACACGGATGAGTATCAAGAAAGTTTAAACACGGACGAGTGTTTGAATCAATACGGACGAGTATTGAAAGAAGATACAGAAGAGTATCCAAGGTTAAACACGGACGAGTGTTTGATTCAATACGGACTAGTATTGAAAGAAAAAAGTATAAACACGGACGAGTGTTTGAATCAATACGGACGAGTATTGAAAGGAGATACAGGCGAGTATCAAAGGTATAAACATGGACGAGTGTTTGAATCAATACGGACGAGTATTGAAAGAAGATACGGACGAGTATCAAAAAGTATAAACACGGACGAGTGTTTGATTCAATACGGACGAGTATTGAAAGAAGATACGGACGAGTATCAAAAGGTTACACACGGACGAGTGTTTGATTCAATACGAACGGGTATTGAAAGAAGATACGGACGAGTATCAAAAAGTATAAACACGGACGAGTGTTTGAATCAATACGGACGAGTATTGAAAGAAGATACGGACGAGTATCAAAAGTATAAACACGGACGAGTGTTTGATTCAATACGGACGAGTATTGAAAGGAGATACGGACGAGTATCAAAAGGTTACACACGGACGAGTGTTTGATTCAATACGGACGAGTATTGAAAGAAGATACGGACGAGTATCAAAAAGTATAAACACGGACGAGTGTTTGAATCAAAACGGACGAGTATTGAAAAAGGATACAAGTGAGCATCAAAAAGTTAAACACGGACGGGTGCTTGATTCAATACGGACGAGTATTGAAAGAAGATACAGGTGAGTATCAAAGGTATAAACACGGACGAGTGTTTGAATCAATACGGATGAGTATTGAAAGAAGATACGGACGAGTATCAAAAAGGTAAAAACACGGACGAGTGTTTGAATCAATACGGACGAGTATTGAAAGAAGATACGGACGAGTATCAAAAAGTTACACACGTACGAGTGTTTGATTCAATACGGATGAGTATTGAAAGAAGATACGGACGAGTATCAAAAAGTATAAACACGGACGAGTGTTTGAATAACTGACCCGATGGGTGTTTAGGAATGGACACGGACGAATGTTTAGGGAACCGACTACCAGACAAGAACTGGGTTTAGAACGGCAAAGTGTATTGATTTTGTTTGGCATTGAAAAGGTGAAGGTCACTGATTGGGGATTTCGGGCATGATACCCTTCTGTAGGGATGTATCGTTGTCCTTGAATAATTCAGGTCTTTGGTGTAAGGTACCTGGTCTGGCTTATGCTTTGTATGCATGTTTGAATTTCTTTTGACGTAAAGATCCACTCTGATGGATCAGCTACGCGCTTTTGAGGATGCAATGATATGTAATGATAACTATATGCAATGCGAAGAAATAAACTTCATGGGGATAAAAGAAGGCTTGCTGGGAGCCATTGCTCATCACTGGGGATGTCAGTATATATCGGCGTTGGAAGCCTGCAGTACCAAAGATTGCTGGGGATACTGATAAGAGTACACACTGGGGAGCTCTTGAAGACCAAAGATCGTTGTTGACTTTGCTAAAGATTGAATTGCTGACGAAGCGAGTCTTTAGGTACACTGTTGGATTCTGAATCATACCGTTGGGAAGAGATAACCTGACCAAACCTCCATACATCCTGAACCGTTGAGGGGGTGATAGAAGTGAATATGCCGAGGAATGGATACTGAATACCATGTGGATCCCTTCGAATACATGCTCCAAGTTTACGCATACTGGGGAATTGTCTCTTGAATCACTTGGGGATAAGAGATGGTCATGGACACTTATGAGTGCCCCGGTTTAGCCTTGCGAGTTCCCCGGTCCAGCTCTGCGAATGCCCCGGTTTAGATTCATTGGGGATGTTCTTGATTAACTCCACTGAGGATGCACTTACGCGTGCTGAGTCAAAAGACAATTTCGAACTTTCTGAATTCACTTGGGGAATCAGGTTTGAAATTGTCTGTAGCAGATGAAGGCAGCTTTGTGTGCTGGCTAGATCAGGGTGACCGTTATGGTGTTTTTGGCTTGATTCGTCTCGTACAACATAATTGGCTTGAGCAACTTTGCAAGTACAGATGAAGAATGCCCCTGTCTGGAGGATCTCTGAGGAGCTTTATGTTGAATAGAAGACCAGAATATCCGTGCCACAAAACGATATGAGGTGGCCTGCCCCAATATCTTGAGTCACGAAATAAACTGCTCTTGATTACAGCCTTTTTGGAGAGATTTGTCGAATCTCGACGTAACTGCCACAGGTTGAATGAATTCTGAATAGATTCCTCAATGTGATAACCACTGATTGATTGAGCTTGAAGAGATTTATCGACGTGATAGCCTCTGATTGACGACTTGAAGAGATTGACCCTTGACTTGATTGCCTCTGATTGACAACTTTGAGGGAATGCCCCAGATTTGGATGAACTTGGAGAGATCGACTCCCGACTTGATTGCCCCAGATTGGATGGCTCTGCTAACTTCATCCATGAATGGCACTCAGACTGTGAAGTATCAAGATGATTTCTTTTGACAGAATCTCTGGTTTAACATGCCTCTGGATTAGTCATTTCTCTTGTAGCAGCTGACTCTTGCTTCAACAGGGTGTTCAAGCCTCTCTTCTCTGACAAGATTGAGCTCTTTACCGATTGTTCATTGTGTAAACTTACTTGATGTTGATCAGTTGTTTTGTATGCAGAAGAATGTTTATTATGAGAATGATAATTCTAATGCAACACATATAGTCTTGAAGTTTGAAAAAAACTTTGAATGAAATGACGTTATGACTCTGTTGTGAATGAGTCACTAGCTAGAGAGAAAGATTTGTAAATTCTTTTTTATGAAAGATAATGCAAGCATATGATGCCAAAATAGATATTGGAACATACCTCTTAGGAGTCAGTTAAACGCTATCTCGTTGTAGCACGCTTTTGAATTGACTCATGCTTCAGTTAGGACTTTTATGGGTTGTAACGTGGCTTGGTTCACGGTTTTAGAAAAAAGGATTTAAGGCTCAAAATTATTTTGTGCCCACCCATTCTCCATGATGTTCTCCATTCCTACGTTCAGTCGACCTGGTACAAGCGTTCAT